ATAGATATAGATGTAGATATAGATACAGATATAGATATAGATATAGATCTCAGCTTTGCTTTCTTGATGACAAAGCTGCTCGGAGTCGTAGACCAGCACGGCACCCTCCAGCGTCGGAGCCTGGTCGAGTGCGCCATCAGGAGATTTGATGGAACAGTTAGAATACCTTTGTCCCTTACTCCGAATGGTCTGGTGTTACTCATCCTCCTGGCTGCCTTCCTAAGGATGATCACTCCGAAGGCTGCGATTGCCAATTCATGCGCTACTTTCTCCGGCCTGTGCCATTTTCATACTATCCTTGTCTTCACTGTTACCACTACATTTCTGCATGAATCCTTTCGCCATAATACCGTGATCAGTTTGGGGTGCAAAACGCGCTCGTGCCACAGTGCCGCGTCGTCGAAGTCGTGGTGGGGCCACGCTTTCGGGCTTCGACTCGAAATCGGCTGGCTGGCCAATCGCTGCCGCACTCAGGGGACTTGCCACGATCTTTGCACTCCCGCCACCAAAGTCCGGTTTGCTTCCGCTTCCGGGCCATTCCTCTTCGCGGCGCGCAAACCTTGAGTGGCTCTACAGTGATCGGAGAGAATGGCCTTTCGAAGCCGTTCGGGAAATGGCATCGCTGGGCGGGCTGGCTAGAATGAGGCCTCGCACTTGGTGCCTAACACTTATTTCATGTTTGCATGCATGGATGCATGGATGCATGGAAGAGCCAAGACTGGCCATCCACCTGTCCATTCATCCCTCTATCCATCCAGCACAAACCCTTCCATAAACAATTCCATACATCTCCCTCTATATAGCCATACTATCAGCCCTTCCGAAAATCCTCTCAAGCCCTTCTGCAAACCTTTCTATAGCCCTTCCACAAACTCGCGTTGAGCCCTTCTATGATTCTGTCAAGCTTTCTGTCAGCTCTTCAAAAAGCCGTTCGACAAACCCCCTTCTTTCAGCCGGTGCCCCTCAAAAAAGCCGTTCTATGAGCTCTTCCGAAAGCAACGCTTCAAGAAAGGAGGTCTGCTTTCAAAAACCTTCGGAAGCTGAGACTGCCCAGGGCAGAGCCTCATCCCGCAGCCAGAGCAAGGCCTCGAAGAGATTTTGACGGCCCCGGGGGCTTGGGGGGGCTGAGGACTCCGGATTCGAAGGATTTTGAATGAAAGGGATGGAGTTCCGGCATAGAAATTGTCGGACGGTGGTGGGGCTTGTCAGCTTTCGTTTTGCCTGCATCGGCGCTAACTATGGAGATATATGCACGCAGGGAAGCGCCTCCTTGCAACATCGTGGTTGCCACTTGTCGTCGTGATAATTGCTGCTGTCTCTGATCAGTTCTCGCGAGCGCAAGCTCTAAGTAAGACCAACTTCAACGCTACGAATGTTGCTGCTGCTGCTGCCGCGGCTGTTCCTACTCCTGCTCCTGCTCCTTCTCCTGCTCCTTCTTCTTCTCCTTCTCCTGCTCCTCCTCCTCCTAACAAGTCTGTTAATGACTCCTGCTACCACCACACCACCGCACCACCACCCCCTCTACCTCTTACCGCCGCCCGACGCCTGCCGACTGCAGACTACCGACTACCGACCTACTACCCATACCTGCTACATACTACGTACTACCTATACCGATTGCCAAGACGACGACCCAGACGACGACAACAACGACGACGACTTGGACTAGGACTAGGACTAGGACTACGACTACGACACGCAGTGCCACGACTACTATTTACTACGACGACGACGACGACGACTACTCCTCCTGCTGCTCTGCTCGTCCCGCTGCTGTTTTGCATTTGCTGCGGCATTGCACTCCTGCTTGTTGCTGGAGTCTTTCAATCGGCTACCGTGCTTGCTATGTTGGACTGCTATGCTGCCTAATACAGGCTTGAATGTATTTTGAATAGGGCTTCGGGTTACATGTGGTATGGTCATATAGCGACTATAAGGGAATATTACCGTGGAACATTACTTCTAATTGTTCAAACCTCTAAATTACTTAACTTGCAGGAAGCATCTGACCTCTGCCATGGCAGAAAGCTCGCCGGTGTTGTTCGAGCCAGCTTCAGCTCCCAATGACAGCCTTACGGCGCTCATTCCCGGACATGCCACGCTGAGGGTTTCGGGCTGGGCGCTCACACTCAGACTGGTAAGTCAGGACAAACGACAAGAATACCAGTACGACTAGATACGAACTTAATGGACGAAGCTGACAAAAAGGATCGGCTATGCCACTACGGCTTTTGCTGTACGGGTACAGGTGAGACAGACTGTCTTGCTTGAACCCTGCGAAACAACAAGTTAACTGACAATAATGAGAGGTGTTATTGTCTGAAGCTTAAGTTGTCCTGAGTTGCAAAGGAAATGTCTTAACAACACGGCACTAACTTACCTTCCAGCACTCCGGTTGTCAAACTGTTCCATTTCGGGTCCTGACTTTCGCATCAAGGATTCGGGTTGGACACTCCAGGAACTCTCTGGGGACGAGCACTCTCAGGTGGAGACCGGGCCAGGAGTCGGGGAGTAGAACGCAAAAAGCTGAATTTCAAATCTAAAAAGCCCCACGAGCAAGGGGGGGAACAAATGCTTTGAACGAAAATGTTCTTCTGCACTGCCCCTGGCCTCACAAAAACCTTCCACTGGGCGAGCTGGTAGATCATAGCATGGACCCCACGTGCGATGCGAGTGGGGAATCTTCCCACTTCTCCAGCCGTTCAGCTTTGCAATGCCTTGGTCGGGCTTTCGAGGATCTCGAACTCCGGGCATGCAGGCGCCAAAGGCCACAGCTGTGAAGCATGGGCGTGACAGCGCAAGTCACCCTCATCTTCCATCCATATCCATGTCGCCCAGTCCTCCTTCCGGAATGTCAATGGTGTCTGACATCGATCCAAGAACTGCGTCCGCTGCTCAATCACGCTTGAGCTGAGATGACTCATCGGGTTTAGGGTTTCGCGAGTGATCACTTGGAGTTTCGAGGGGTTCAGGAGTTTGGGGCTTAACTAGGGACGTGTGCAGTTTATGCTTTTGGGCTGGTTTCTACATAGGGTTAGGTTTGGTCGCGTTTGGTCTGTTGTAGCCTGGCTGTTGCATACTTGCGCTTTTAGGGTGTTGCAAAGACGTCTGGTTCAGCGACGTCGTCCCAAGGCTTGGACCTGCAAGACTTTCAACCCGTAAGCCCTTCACCCAAAAGCGTGGAGGACTGCCCGACATTGAACACCTCTGATTCTGTTCCGAGCAGGTCCAGGAGGGACGGAGCTTCTTGGACAACCGGAAAAACTATGTACTGCTACATGCGATCCAGAATCGTGAAGTTCGGGCTTCTCGATACGTTGGTACCAGTAGGCTCCCAGCGTTTAACCAAAACTTACTCGCTGCGCGGCTTCGCACGATTTGGTCGGTCCAATGCCCTCAATGTCTGAGCCCCGACATGCGAAGAAACGCAACAAGAGGCGATTTGGACACAGTTTCTTGCACGTTTAGTTGTCTTGGGTTAAGAACCGCGGCTTACAATGCCCGTCTCCGGTGGGTCAGACATATCGCATCCTCAAGGTCTCCGTCGTGCGTTGCAGGTTTCGGGTCTTCTTAGGATCGCCGGGAAGCTCTGACGAACTGTCGGTCACGACAGGGCCAAACAAGTCCAGCAATGGCTTCCACGTCGCTGCCCTGGGCAGGATTGGTCGTGACCAGGCTGCGCCCATCCCATGCAGCCCCCGAAGACCCACCAGCCCTGAACGTCCTACTAGCCATGCTTAAGAAGTTCTTGCACCACTTGGAGCTAGGATCTGTTTACACCGTGAAAACATACGCATCAATCGGTGGCCTTCACAGCACAGTCTGCCAGCGCCGGTTCGAGGGAGGCCCGCCCGGTTTGGATGGTTCGGATGATTTCGGCTAGGTTGAACATTGCTTCTTGGATGGATGGAGAGGTTTGGGACTGCAGTGGTCCGTCTCATTAGAGTTCTGCATCTGCAAGCCTCAATGCCCGATTATAGACAGATTTGGGATGACTGCAGCGACAGCTGCTGCTACAATTCTTTTTGGTTACGACATGCTAACAGTTGGGTCCTAACCCCCGATCATGCCTCTCGCCCTCGCCGGCACGGAAGACAGCTACGCCCCAGCCTGGTAAAGGTCTTTTGGCCAGTGGATGCCGGAAGCTTTGGTGGATGTCCATACGAGCTTCGGGTTTTGCTCCTTCTCCTGCTGCTGCTGCGACTGCTACTGCTGCTGCTACTACTACTACTACTTCTTCTACTGCTACAACTGCTACAACTGCTACAACTGCGACTGCTACTGCTACCAATACTGTTGCTACTGCTCCTGCTGTCCTGCTGCTGCTGCTGCTGCTGCTGCTGCTGGTGCTGGTGCTGGTGCTGCTGCTGCAGCAGCTGCTGCTGCTGCTGCTGCTGCCAATGCTGCTGCTAATGCCGCTGCTACTAGTGCTGCTGCTGCGTGCGGTGACGACCGCCATCATGGCATGCTGGGCGCAAACAAAGAGCATTGCAGAGAAGCCGTGCACTAGAGGCTATCCTTCCTCCTAAAGCACCACGCCCCCCTCCCCCCAAACCGAGCATTCTGCCGAATTTCAACAGTTGAAACGTTCAAAGCGTTTTTCTGCCCGAGCCTGCTGCTGTTGGCAGCTTGCCAGCATGCCTGAGAAGCTGCACAGTTCTTCTACATGTGCACATGCATGCATGCATGCATGTGTTGCATAAGCATGCATATTCAACTGTATGTACATGCGTGTGCTTCGTACAGGCGTGCTTCTTCATTCATCATAATACGTCTTATCGCAGATGAACACAAAAACTGAGCTTGCGAAAACCACTGCATGCATGCATGTATCTATGCATGTATGCATGTATCTATGCATGTATGCATGTATGCAGGTATGTATGTATGCATGTAAGTATGTGTTATGTATGTATGCGTCTGTATACCGGTCTATACGTATCTGTTTTTCTGTCGGGCCTAGGGGCCAGATTAACTATGTATACTTATACCTGAACTTACATCCACACATACATTCTCTCTCACTCGCTTTCTTTCTTTCGCCAGGGCTGTGGGCAGTCTCACTCGCTCTCTCTGTCTCTCTCTCTCTCTCTCCCTGGGCATGGGGACAGGTCAGCGTCCCCGGGCTGAATAGCCCACCCAACTTGTTGTTGGGAACCGGGGGGTGGAAGTCGAATATAGGCAATATAGGTCATTACGAGGCTCATGGCATAAAGTCGACGAGATCGGACTGCAATGACCGTATATTCTCGCTCTTCTTCCACACAGTCAAGGAGAAAGCGTGCGCTCCCTCCTGCGCGCGAGCGCGCCCTGTCTGCTTGGGTCTTTACGAAAGCTATGCAAGATGAGGCCCCCTCGTTGTCACTTGTCACCCCCGTAACCTAGCAACCCCCTAAAAGAACCCCAGGCCTCATCTTCCAGTAGGCAAGGACCGGCTCTGTTAAGCAAACTCGTCCCCTATTGTAATTTCGCTACTCTTGCGTTCCGTGCAGTTCTCCAAACGCATCACAGAAGCAAGTAGGCTACACAACATGAACTGCAACACCTACTACCAAGCACTTCTGGACTGTCCCTGGAAGCAACCGTGTGAATACTGCACTGGCCGGAACCTGCACAAGCTTTGGCAGTCCTGTGCTGGGGGTTCGAGGAAAAACATGCAAGCCCTCGCGCAACTGTAGACACAGAGGGCTAAAGTAAAGGACTTCACGGAAGGACCTGGTCCAATTACAACCTCTTTCCCCCTGAATTCACCAGCATTTCCTAGTAACCCCTGTCATCGGAGCGTTTTGAAAAGAATCGGGGATTGGTGCCACGGTTAGGGCGAAATGCTACGGTCGTCTATCTTGGGGAGGCCTTTCGGCCCATGGGTAACAACTCAGCTCATGCGGTAGTATTGCCCACTTTGTGCTGCTAAGCGTCTGTTCACCTCAGTGTCCTTCGTATCACACCCCTGGTCCATCCAAGGTGGTCGGCATGCGCGGCCTTCCTGCCATTTTCACGAACCCTCCCTCACGGTCTTCAGCCTCCCAACGTACTTCTTTGGTGTCGACGTCTCCTCGCGGTAGGGCCGGGGGTTGTGGAAGAACGGCGTCTTGCCCCCGTCGCCCTCGAACGTGTTCACGATGTACCCCTTGGGCTGCGTGATCTTCCCCAGTTCCGCAATGAGGGAGCATGTGTGCCCCCCTACTACCGGGCCTCCCCACTCCATGGGGGCCGGGTTCAAGGGGACCTGCTGAAGACGCGGGCAAAGGCATGCACCTCCGAGGACTTACAACTTATCGCAGGGGGCTGCCTCGGACGGGTCCTTAAGCACAATGTTGCGGTGGGAGACTCAAGCACCGCTGGAGCGAACCCCCCAAGTCCGCCCCTCAAGGCTCACTTGGGAAGGCTCACCCCCCGATGCAGGGAGGAGGCACAGTCCCCCCAGCAACGGTGCAGCACTTGAGCCAAAATATATTCTCGCTTGCTTGCTTGCTTGCTGGGCGTTTGGGGTGTGGGAGCGCCCACAGCCCCTGCGCGCAAGCGCTACGCCAACGTCCTGTGTCTTTGCAGTCGGTGTGACACTTAGGTGGGGCAGCACAATCGGCAAGGCAACACACAATCCCCTAAACAGCCTAACTCACTGCTCCAACTATGCAACACTCCCCGCCTGGTTCTTGCCGTTTGTGCTGAGCCCCTCACGGTGCTGTGCTCCGCGATTGCCCCCGGATATTACCGGGGGGTTCAAGGCAGTTTCGGTGGGGTCCCCGGTAAGTTGCTGTGGAAACACCTCGCACACTGTCCAAAATGCACATCCCTAATATATTCTCGCTCTCTCTCTCTCTCTCTCTCTACCGGGACAGGAGAAGCAGGGCACGCCCCACTTCCCCGCGCGCGGACGCGCACCCGCGGGTCTCAGCGGGGTTTTGGATTTCCCCCCAGGGGTGTTTCATCGGGGGGGTCGGCTGTACATAGAAGCAGCCTGGGTGATGCTCTCTGGGATGAAAAGCAAGCTTCACAACAGCTAGCAAGCACTCACAACCACCATGAACAAAGTCGGCATCCCCCAGCATAGAATCCCCCTTCATGCAGGACGCAGTGTGTAGGCATAACAACGGAAGTAGTAGCTCCAACGCACTTGTCTATGACATCCAGAACAACACTGCGACTGCTGGCTGAGGCTCGGACCGGCACAAAAGGCTATGAAAAAACATGTCACATGCTACAGTAGATGGTCTCCCCGGTACAGCCTTGAATAGAAGCGGAGAGTCGGTGGCTGCAAAAAGCATATCTAGTTTCCCCCGGTGTTAGAGGGATCTCAAGAGGCTTTCCCCGTTCGGAGCAGTTGTCAGGAAGTCACCTAGGGCCTACGCTCCCACCGTCAGAATTACAGTGCTTGTCGTGGTGCCTCGGGGGTACGATGGTAGGAAACAACAGCTTCACAGTATAGGCCAAAGCGACAACAGTTTGCAGAGAACACTCTCTCTCTCTCTCTTTCTCGCTGACTGTCGTTCCCCGCAGCTCTCGGGCATAGAGAGTTGTCGAGGCTCCCGGACCGATGGTCCGCCTGTGCTGGCACCTATAAACCTCTCTGTCTCTCCCCGGACCTGTGGGACCCTTGGTTTTCAGGCAGAGCCACCGGTTGCCCGGGCAGGAGCCGTCCACAAAGAGCTGCAGACCTGCTGGGGGATGAAGTTGCAGATGGCTGCGCTCTCGACTTCTGCTGGCTCAACAACACACAGAGCCCTGCTCTCAGCAGACGTGGTAGCAGTCGCAGCAGTCGCAGCAGTAAGTAACAGCCACGCCCTGCAACGAGCCTATGTGCTCCTCTTCGGATGTCTGTGCTCCGATCTCTCCCAAGGCTTCCTCACGTGACAGAGCCACTCGATGGGGGTGTAGGGTTTAGGGGTACGTAAGGCATGTAAGGGTCGAAAAGAGGGGATGGAGAAGGCTCAGATGCCTGGGATTTAACCAAAGTTCAGCAGGGGTGGCTATAGTGTAGTTGTTGACGGCCCCATCAGACTCTAGGACCGTACTTTCTAGATGCTGTGGCAGCCCTTACTTCTGCAACCTCAGACTTGACAACTGGCAGGTAGTTGGCCGCAGTGAGATCAACATCAGGAGCAGGAAAGATGATAGTACCTTGAACTATTGGCAATAATAACGGGTTTTGTATCCCAAAAAGAGTCTTGGCACTTTTGCAAGACCAGCAGTTGCAATCACCTCCCGCCTTGAGAGCGCACTCAAACACCGGCGCTCCACCTCCCTGTACCAAGACCTGGGCAGTAGCAAGGGATGTAGCGGTGGCGCAGGTGGCTGCTGCTGCTGTTGCTCCCTCCACCGCCTCCACCCAAGCGGTAGCACATATCCTAGATTGTCGTTGGAACAGTGGTGACGACATCGACCACGCTTGTCGTTGCTATTGCCATTGTCGTTCCTACCACCGCTATCATCATCCTGGATTTCGCTGCCCAAGCTGGTGTTGCCGCTTTGACTGAGCACCATTCACGCAAATACCTTTCTCCACGTCCGTTTGTGTATTTACTTTCCAGCTTTGCCACTCGCACTTCGGAAGATCAAGCCAGGCTGTGGGGACCGCAAAAACTGCGGAAGCGAGCTTGAACCATGAACCCCATGCTATTTAGACGAGTTCTCCATGCAGGGATGAGTAAGGCTCCAACCGTGCCAGTGGAAGTCCAAACGTTGACAAATGCCTGGGCCCTCACCTCTGCGTTCAGATGTCGAACTCTGTTGGGTGCAGTGCGTGGCTGGTCTCTGAGGTGAGGTGTTCCAAAAGCCGTCGGGCAGGTTTTCGTGCCAAGAAGTTGCCAGAATGTAGCTGCTTTGGGGACCTGTTGCTCTGCAAGCCTGTTTTCAATCACAGCAAGCACGGGCCGATACACGATACCAAAGCATGATGAACCAGGCAAAATCAATCAACACCGACCGCAAACCTCAATCCGACCATTTTTGTGGCTCCAACCCACGGTGGGGGCATGATGATGCTGGCGATGGTGACGGCGAAGTTGACGCAGGTTGTCAGTCTTGCTGTCGGATGCTACCGGTTGTCAAGCAGCCTCGCGGTGCCTAGTTTTACGTTCCTGCCGCATTCCTGAGATCATCGTCGTAGCTACAGCAGCTACAGTTGTAGTATTGCGAGATTTCCCGGCACCACCACCACGAAGACGACGACG